GTAGGTTATTTATTTTCCTATTTTTGGGCCTAAACAAAATAGCTTTGGTCTTTTTACAGTTTAATTTTAGTTTGTTGTTAAGCGTCCAGGCGGCGATTTTTTTTAGCACTTCGTGCACTGTAGCAATAGAAGTAGAAAGATTGTTATGGGAGAAAAAAATACTTGTATCATCAGCGTAAATTATCAGCTTTACATCATCGCTTTTGGCCACATGCACAATGTCGTTTATGTATAGTATAAATAGCAATGGGCCTAAAATGCTACCCTGAGGAACACCCGATTTGATAGAAAGCCTGTCCGAATGAAAATTCAGAAAAGACACGTATTGATTCCTATTTTCTAAGTATGATTTTATGAGATCGAGTGCTACGCCTCTTATTCCAAAAAATGGTAATTTGGCAAGTAAAATATCATGATCGATGGAATCAAAGGCTTTTGAGTAATCAAGAAAGACGCCTAGTGTCATCTTTCTTTCGTCAAAATCTTTCACAATTTGTTCTTTCTGGTTTAATAAAGCCAATTCGGTAGATCGATGTTTACGAAAACCGAATTGCGCATCGGAAATTAAAGCGTGCTTATCAAGATGTGTTATGAGTCTATTGTGTATTAGTTTTTCAAGTGATTTAGAAAAGACAGGAAGGATTGAGATGGGCCTATAGTTATTTATGTCAAGCCTATCACCACCTTTATGAAGAACACTAATTTTTGATACCTTCATTCTCAGGGGAAAACAGCCTGTTTCTAATGCGAGGTTATATATGTATGTTAAATATGGTGCAATAATATCAATGACGTATTTTATAGGTTTTACCTGCATGTTATCAGCGTCGACGCTTTTGCTATTTTTAAGATTTATGACGGTCGAGTAGACTTCTGACTCATCCGTGGGGAATAGGAACATCGATTTCGTATACGATACTGGCATGAAATCTAGAACTTTGTTTAGGCAGGACGATGACACACCAGAAGTACCAACATTTACAAAGAAATTATTGAAAGCATTTGCCATGTTCACTCCTGTTATTTTAATGGAGTTTATACTTATTTCATGGGGCACGTTTTGAAATGGCTTATGATTCAGTACTGACCGTATCTTCTTCCACATAACGTCAGGTTTCTTAGTTTCTAACGGATCGAAAAGATTATTGTAGTAGTCACGCTTAGCATTTCTTAGCAGACTTGTGAGTTTGTTGCGGTATTTCTTAAAGGTTTCAAGCTTGCTAATTTCTTTTGTTCGTAAAAAATTTTGATATAAATTAGTCTTAACCCGTATCATTGAGAGTAGCTTTGGCGTGACCCAAGGCCTACGCGACTTCTTAGATGCTTTGAGGTTGACAAAAGGAAAATGTTTACTATAAATTGTACTAAATGTATCGAGGAATAAATTATATGAGGAATTTGTTGATTTTGTTGAAAAAATATGTTGCCAAGATGTCTTTTCAATTTCTTCTCGAAAACTACGCAATTGATCCGGGGTGATAGACTGAATTTTAACCATTGGAACAGGGTCACTGCGGTTTTTCTGGGAGTGCTCACTGTACAAGCAAAAATAAATGGGAAGATGATCACTGATATCAGTAGAAAGAACACCTGATGATACCACCGATTTTTCATAGTTCGTGATGAACAAATCAAGCATAGAAGATGACGTATTTGTTATTCTTGTAGGATGTGTGATAATATTCGACAACCCATTTGAAGCAATAAGATTTGAGAGAGAGATTTTTTGGCCAGAGTTCGAAATCATATCAATGTTGAAGTCACCACCCATGATTACCTTGTAATTGTTATCATTGACATAATTGAACAATGTCTCCGCAAAATTAAAAAATGGTATGACCGGAGAATTTGGTGGCCTATATACGACGGAGAGCAGAGTATTTTTGAAACGTACAGTTACAACCTCATAAAAATCAGTAATTTCACAGAACGATTCTAATATCTCACAATTTTTTTCATTTTTTACCAACATAGCAACACCACCGCCTAGCCTATCATTTCTATTTAGGTTGAAATGAGAATATCCCGGAAGCAGAAAGTAATCAGCACTACAACTGTACCACGTTTCAGTTAGCATGACGACGTCAATATTCGGTCCAATGCAGTCAAACAAAACAGCGAGGTCATCGTGCTTATTCCTTGCAGATCGAACATTTAGGTGGATAATTGTCATTTGAAATGCAGACTCATTCTCAAGTAGATTTTTTAGTTTAAAAGGTGAAATGAAGGATTCAGACATCGTTTTTCAAGAGACAACAACAAAAAAAAAAAAAAATTTTTGCTAGCTCGCCGTTATCTTGCACACGTCATCAGCACACGTTACTTTCAGAAACGGCGTCTGTTCAGCCTTACGAGCAAATATGCTACCGTTTCGGACCCAAACGAATTTCCAGTTGCATTCCTTCTTTTTTGCTACAGTCACTCCCAGCAGTTTTTTTAGCGCGGGGCAAAGGTGCTCGTTCACATACACAGAGCTACCCGAACTAATGCCAAGGTCCTCGCAACTGACGCGTCGTTTTTTGGCATGCCCAAGGAAGTTATCTCGCCTGTCCCGGCGTATGAACTGAACAACAATGTTCCTAGCCGTACTGTTCGGAACGGGAACGCGGTGACACACCTCGATATCAGTTTCAAGTATGGGCGCGCCAATCACGACTCCCAGTTTTCCCACGATGTCAAGCAAGTTTTCATTTTGCTGGGGTGGGATTCCCTTTATCTCAACATTTCGATTTCGGCTGTATTGCTCGCAATATACAAGCCGACTTTCACTTTCTCTGGTCTGTTGATACAATTGCTTGCATTCCGATCGAAGTTCGTTGTTTTCCGCCCTGAGCTCCGCATTTTCCTTTATTGTTGCATTTAGCTTATCCTTCATTTCCTCAAACGTTTTGTTAATAAATTCCATACTTGCTTTCACTTCCCTTAACTCTCCGCGCAGCTCTCTTTCAATCGTGCTTTTTAATTCTTTGTGTTCTTGCCTCAGTTCTCTCTTAAGGTCTTCAAATAGTTTGGCCATTTCCTTGGCCATCTCTCGTTTATCACAAGGAGTTGTTTGCTTATAACGACACAAAAAAATCTGTGATGCACTTTGAAACAGGAGACACAAATACACGCTTTGCAGGTAGAAAACACAAACGTGCTGTGTTCGGCAGCAGTAAAAAAGGAAAAAAAAAATAAAATTAAAAATAAAGACTCTCACCTGCAAAGCAGATGAGAGTCTTTATTAGTTAAAGGGTGATATGTTTCCTTCTTCCTGATTTATAAGAAGTCATAGCCCGTGTCAGTATGTTAAGTCGAGCCATGGGAGCTTGTTCTTACAAGGAGTTGTCACGTGAAACGTTTCCCTTCTGATCGGGCGCATCTAATCCTATTCTCCCAAAAGCACTAGTCGACGTATTCCCGGTCATTCCTCTCACGGAGTCTTGTTCCCAAACACCCGAAGAGCCCAAGTTACTGCACGTCGTCACACAAGAGGGCTAGATATTTGCTTGGCAGAAGCGTCGCCAGTTTAGGAAAAGGATGGCGCTAGCTTCTTAAATTGTGCATTTTCCCAAGAAACGGGTAGCGATATCTGCTCATACGCGAGTCCCCGATTGAACTAAAAAAAGGCAGCGAGCCACACGGCGAGCGGCATCTGCTTTTCTCGATACCCGTCTTTTCCGACTACAAAAAGCACCTCTACTTAACAAGGCCATGGATACGCACGAAACGTTCTCGGGCCTTGACAAGGCATTTGGAATAGACTATTTATTCCGATCGTTTGTTGTTCAGAATTGTCGACGCCTACTGTTTAACCTTGCTTCACAATATAACGACATGGCTAAGGATCTGTTTGTCCTGTTCTCTCAGTTCTTAAAATGTGTTGACTTCGCTTGTGATATTCTTTTCGCCTTGCAGCCTACAAGCCGTTCATCCCAAGCTGACAGTGCAATGGAAGTTACTTGCTCGTTGGAACAGTCACACGTCTATCTTTTGCCACGTAATCACGCTCTCGTTCATACCACGTGCAGAGAAAGGGACGGGTCAGGTGATCAAACGAAGGCGGTTGATTGGTTCTGGTAAGTCGGCAGCTTCCACTGCACTGTCTGCTTAGGGATCAACGAAGCAGACTATCGTCGTGATGACGTGACACCGTGAATCTGCCTTGCCTGGAGTTCGTGAGCCGTGGCCTTTCATCGATGTTTTTCCACCTATTTTTTCCACCTTTCCAGTCTGCCTTTGTGCGTCTGGCGAGTACTTGGTGCGAGGCCTTGCGCTCCAGTTGCCGTCGCTTATTTGCTCTGATGTCTCTTTCACAAAATTTCACTACGCAAAATAATTTTTGTTTTACGTTTTTAAACGTTCGCCAACGAACTTTCTCATTTGGGAAAAAAGTAATTTCAAAAGTAATGAGTAATTTTTTTAAGTTACTGCCTGAAAGTAATTCATTACATTACTAAATTACCAGCCTGTAAAAGTAATTCCTTACATTACTCATTACAAAAAAAATAGTTTAACTACTTTAATATCATTACAGTAATGTTTTTAAGGTCATCTCTGCATTGCAGAAAGCTAAAACTCCTTGAGAATGTGACGCTAGCGGTTGGGATAGAATGCGAAAGTTCGAAAACATAACATTACCTGTGTCAAAAGCTACTGAAGAGAAAAAAAAAATTAAATTTCGGTATGAGGTGATCCCAACCTAAGCCTAATATCTTCAAAACAATAAATGCCATTGGGGTCGTCTGTACAATCTATTTCAGCTTAGGCGCCGACTACGGGGTAGAGGGAGATTGAGTCCACTCGGAAGACGCACGGGAAGTTTGTAGAGCCTACCACAATACGGCTATAATTAAAAGTCTTCTGTACGAATGTCTTAGTTGATAGTGTTTTATTTTCTTTTAGCAAATCATCTTATTGACTTCTGCGGCCACCCCCCAGCCCTTTATTGATTATTCTTTTTGAAAAACAAAAAACACGCAAATGTAGTCGTGATATTAAATCCTTTTTTTTTTTTACAGGAGAACGACAAAGCAATGATACATGATACCTCAACACTGTGCCGAATAAGGCACACAACAAAATCTGAATGCGAAATACCAAACCTGATCAAGTAAAAAATGCACCGCTTCCGCGATACGCTTTTCTCTTCATTCTGATCTGGGAGTGTAACGTAGCACACGATTGAGGGGAAACTTCCCGGAAGAGTAAAATCTTGCGATCATCACAAGTGAAAAGAAGACGGAAACGCTTCTGAGTGAAAATAAAATAAAATCAAACATAAACTGTCGCAGCTATGTTATAATTCGAATTTCATTTCATTTCATTTCATTTTATTATACCTCAAAGGCACTTCTACCGAAGTGCATTACATGAGGGGGGATAAGAATACAAACTCACATAAAAACAAACAAAAGCAAAAGTAGATTCACAAACAAATACAAATAGTAATATTTGCCGAAAAATGGCTAGGGTTAAATCGCATCAGGATCAGACTTGTACCGTACGCATTACAAGTAATCAGATTACTTGTAATCAATTAATTTTTGGAGTAATTTTGTAATCAGTTGATTACTTTTATTAGGCAGTAATCACAGGAGTAATCTGATTACTTTTTGAAGTAATAAAATTACTTGTAACCGTTACAATTTGTCCACGGCCCCCCCCCCCCCCCCCCCCCCCCCCCGGGCACATGCCTTTTTTTATGAAATGACAAAAATAAAATTTGCTTTTTTTTTTTTTCTTCGAACGGAAAAAAGAAAGATTTTTGCGGAGCTGTAGGAAACGAGGTCAATCTCTTTTTATGTACAATTTCTGTAGAATGTCTGTTTTTTTTTTTTTTTTTGTCAAGCTGGGACTGGGAGTGGGAAGCCCCAGGGAAGCCACAGTACGTGACAAAGGCCCTTCAGGGCAAAGTTTGAGGAAGCAGAATGTAACTTTGTGAGTCCTTCGTTCAAACTAGCCCCCTCACGCACACACACACAAAAATAAAAAAAAATAAATATTCCTGCTGAGGGTACCTACTCGCAGCCCGTAGGAGAACCAGAACCGAAGAATGCCTAAAGCGGATGCAAAATATAAGAAAGGTAGTTTAAATATTTCCCCATTTCCCCTACGTGGTCTTTGTGACAAGCAATGTTTCGAGTTGAGAAGTAGTCGGGGCGATCTCTTCCGCTAATGGATACTACACATGATCCATTTAAAATACTGGAGCTACAGCTTTTTTGTATAACATGCGAGCTCATCCACATGTGAATAATGAAATGAGCGACGCAGACTTTGAGCGACAACCCTTGCTCAAGCTTAACAAGATCTAGAACCCCCTCCGCTTCCCCCCCCCCCCCCCCAGACACACACACACACACTGGCGAACGCCCAAATCATTAAACGTCTTCAAACGAATTCTATGCTTGTGTCCGCATTGTGAAGGTACAACGACCACGAAGAGGGAGCCAGTTTTTCTTCTTCAATACTTTTGCAAATGTGAAATATAGGTTGGAAGTAGTTCATTGTTATGAGCGCTGAAGATGTGTCTTCACACAATAAAGTAATCGGAAAAGTAACGATTACTTCTTTAAGTAATGTCCGATTACTTTTGCCGTCGAGTAATCAAGTAATCTAATCGAATACTTCTTAGCCAAGAGTAATAGTAATTGTGATCGATTACTTTTTTTTAGTAACATGTACAAGACTGATCAGGATGCATATCATGGTAAAAAAAAAAAAAACTAATGACTAGCTACCGACATAAACATTTAGACTAACGAAAAACACTTTTGAGGTGTGCCTTGCAAAGATCGCGGAATTTAGCTGAATTATTTTCGAGAGCAATAGCCTCAGGAAGAGAATTCCAGTTATTGATGGCTAGAGAGCTAATGACTGACAGATAGGGTTAATAAGAGGACTTAATTTCTCCAACAATGTTTCGAACGAGACTACGCTATTCAGTGCAATCTTCATTTGAGGTATTCCGACTTAAAACAAACGGAATAATTAAATCTCGAGACAAAACCAAAATATTGAACAAAGCAACACATTGTTTGAGATTTCCTCTCCTGTTACCAGCTATTGTATTTTTTCCCGTTTGTGTGTCTTATTACGATGTTTCTAAACCGGCTAGCTTGTATACTTTTTGTTCGTAACAATGAGTTGTGTCGTGCGAGCGTGTACAATGCCGCTCTACCGGTCTCCATGCGTTATTTAGTTCTTTAACGCACCTTTATATTAAACCCTCCCATCTCATGTAACGGCTCCGTTTCAGACCGTAAACATAACACGCCATTAGTCCGGATTTATGATTTTGGGATGCGCCATTTGTATACCAGCGGCAAAGTGCTCGCGCAGGTAAAGAACAGTAAAATATGGTAGGCTTAGGGCTTGTACACATACTTCTTACAACCGTGTGCCTCTCGGGATCTCTCATGTCAAGACATGAGAGATCCATCTATCGGGTGGCCTTGGAACACTTTCAAGTTCTATATATTTCCTATTCTTTTCGAGCATCATTCTTGCTTTCTCAACTTGAGAAACGCTTTCGGCAATGCTACACACGACCATTCCTAGTAGACGGTACTTAGATTTGATGTCACAAATACCGAAAAATCTTCGCAAATGATAGGATCTCGGTAGATCCTACGATCCCATGCTGAGGCTTGCGGGCACGTCGACCCATCGGGCGCGTTCGCGTGCTCGAAGTGACTGCCAAACAGATCCCTGGGTGCAGTGTGTAGCCCTCCCGAACATTTCGGTCACGAATCACGTTGGACTGATCGGTGATTTCATTTTGACTATGGAAACACGCTGCCAGTGGTCTTCACTGGAGCGTTCTGTTTGAAAGGCGCCTATCTGTGATTGACGAGCAATAAGCGCCTTCGGGTAAGCAATGAATTAGTATCATTCTGAAGAACATAGGAACCTTGGAAAATGTGCGTAAGTATACCGCGTTTAAAGTACACTTATCAGGCTCGTTGTAACCAACTGTACCTAAATCTACTATATTTATTTCTCATAAACATGCTACAGGTATTCAGTACAAGAGGTCTTTTGCGGCACGCGTGCATATTCTCGATTGCAGAACACAGATGTCGGAGATCTTCGGACACAGTCACTTCCACATATCACCTGTGCTATTTCAACGTAAACCGCAACGTTCCCGGAGCTTGGAACGAACACCACACACGTCGGTGAGCTATTAATGCGTTGCCGCCGAGCGTTGCGATTTATGTTAATCGATTTCACCTATTTCCCCGCCTTGTTGTGATCACATGACGAGGTGACTGTGGAAGTTGTGAAATCGAAACCGCTTTGACGAACGACACAAAATTTGAACCTTTTTGTTTTGTGATGTTTGTTATCTTCTTTCTTCGTATCTCATATTTTATCTTCACAAGTCTAGTTTGTTAAATTAGCTATTTATATATTAAAATGCATTTATTTAATGTAGTTTATAAGCTTGTTTTGTTTAAAAAGTTGCAACGCCAAATATAGTGATCTGGCTACTCTGGCAATGCTCCGAAACTATCCGAGCCTACCAAAAACACATCGAGTTTCGGCCATCGTTCCGAAACTTTCCGACACCATCGCTTTAGGTTCGAAACCTGTTTCGGAAAATGTTTCGCCCTATCAGTCGTGACAACTGTCGCTTCGCTGTCAGTAGAATATAGCAGTATGGTGCCTCGAACGGGTCTCCGACTGGTGTGTTAACCGCGTCCAAAAAAGTGGTCCCTTGATTTCCGCCTGATGACGTCAAACAAGTGTCATGCTATCACCGGTCGCGATCCTGGCGGTGTCCCAACAGCTGTGGTGTAGATGGCAGACGCTTGTTCTGTTGCAGGACGCCCTCCACTGTGACAGTCCACGGAAGCTAAAGCAGCAGGAAGTTGGGACGCCCGAGGCGCCGTGACGACAGCGACACTCGCTTTCGCTCGTGCTTTTCGCCAGCATTTCTACGGCAAACCGCCGGGATCGCGACAGGCAACAGCAGTACACTCCGGCTTCTGTGACGTCATTTGTTGCCACTTTGAGACCACTTTTGATGTGTGGGCAGGATAGAACGCTAAACACACCAGTCGGAGACGCGCTCCAGGCACCATAACATTCACAACTTTCAGCGATAGTGGTGCCGCGGTGTGAGAATCGCGTTACCTAGCTCCTGGATGATTGGTTTCATAATTAAAAGGCTCGCCTACGCATTCTGGACGTGAACAAATAACGTATGGCTCTGATACTGCTCGTATATAGCAAAACTAGAATTACTTACACGTCGCAGACCCAGCCTCGCACCGCTGTTCTACGACGATCATCCAGATGACAGCCATTTTGATAGGCACCAGTGCGCCCCCTATAGGTTGTGAAAGTTGCGAATAGCTGAAGATGTGATTTAGTAGATGTGTGGCTTCGTAAAAGCATTCAATAGGGCGGCGCGCTCCACGCGATCACGTGAATGTTTGCGTACAGACGCCACCAGATTTTGTCCGAGAGGGCCACTAACAGTCTGTAAAATATCATAAAAAACATATATCTTATTGCTATGCACTGGGATAACAATGGAAATTAGCCGTCACGTTGAAGCTGCTCCTCCACATACGGCACCACAAAAAGCCAAAAAGTGTTTGGGAAGGACCCTGAAACAAGTCCAGTAGATCCGATCATGGGTGAGTAACAGTATTAGCCAGACAGTTGTAACGCAGCGCTCCGGCATAATAGTTTCCTTCTAAGCAAGGACTACCTCATTTAGGAAAATATCCACTAATTTGCTTAAACTTGGTCTACAATGTAGCAAGTTCACAGTTGTTTAAATAATGTTCTCTTAGTCGCTACTGTGAGAACAATTAATTGCCTTCGAACGTTTCTCGGAAAACATCTAGTTTAAGTTACAGAATAGTGGCTAAAACGAGTTTATGCAGATGAGCCTGTGAATAACCTTTATTCGTAGAATGTCGTTACGTGGGCAAGCAACACAGAGGAAAACGTACACATGCAAGCACATAAGGCACCGTTAGTATACGTTTAATTTATTGTTTTGCGTATACAACCTAACATTCATAATTAGTATAATTGTAATTGTATTATTACTAATGTTCTCTTTATAAGTATTTCATGAAAAATTCTGCTTGCATTAAAATTTTTCACCAAACATTGCGTTGCTACACAAAAGAGTTTTATTTGTGTTTTAATTTTATTCGTATTGGGAAGAGATACTAGAAACATTCATTTCATACTTTTTATTGCACCTGTTTCTCAGTAGCCGTGTCCTCTTTTTTTAAATTTAATCTAGCAATATTCAGCATGCTTCGTGAGCATATGGCTGATATCACACTTGGGAAGGTGCAGCCACGGTTAGGGATTTGGTGTTCCAGCCGGTTATGTTTGCTGTGCACTCAATACCAGCCTTCTCGGCTTGGTTATTGTATGTTCTCGTCGACGATTCGTTCTGGAAAACAATTTGTTTTTTTGTAAGGTCACCGTAGCATTGTGACTCTAGGGGTAAGAATTAACAAAGATCATTGGAAACAATAAGCATATCTATTTGTTTTGCATTTTTTTATATAATTTGTTAATTAGGTTTTAGAACGCAGATGCTCGATTCGTCTCCCTTTCAATGTCACGTACTGTACGTGTTGTTGGGAAATATTACCCAGTCAATGCTAGTTGTTGTTTTGTATTTAACAGAGTAATGTAGTGGAAATCTTTCAAGCAATTCAGAAGTTTTTTTTTTTTTTGCTACTTATTTGGCACAGCTCGTTGCGATTGTCATATTGTATGCACGAGTACTGATCAAACCAACTGGTTAAGGTCATATATAATAAAACCTCAATCGAGGCAAATTATAAATTATCCGGGGGAACATCAGCGGCGTCTCTCATTTTTCTAATAATATTTCTTAATTGGATTGAAAAAATAAAATTAATAAGGTAATTTTATTTTACATTTATTTTATTGCTTCAGAACGAATATCACCGAAAGCGTAGCCTTATCAACCTACACCTTGAAAACGACAGCATCTGGACAGCCCCAAATTATCGCATTGTATCTTGGCAGCCAATAATACTCCAGAACCGCCAGTTGCAAATGATGCAGAATTATGCAATCGCAGTGTTCCTTTGTGGTGTACCGTTAGGGGACATATGGCAACTTGGTATCATTGGCTGCGCATTTCACCATTTTATATTATCACGACGAGTATTAATACACAAACACGCGTCATAAAAGTACATCTATAAACACACATGCTGCCAATTTGTGCTTATCAATTCTCAATGCTCCACAAATTGCAACGAAAACTTACCCCATACCAAACGAAGCTGCTAGGCATTATTGTTGTCTGTGAAGGAACAAATGAAACACTAATTATTAGGCAGTTACAAACTAACCACACACAAGAAACAGGGGCAAGTAATCCTGTTGGGATAAAACTTGAAGCTCTACTTCTAATAGAATAACGAGCACTGGATGAAGATGTTTACTCGGCCTGTCAATCAATTCAAAAGAGGTTCCAAGAAAAACCCCGACAAAGGCACTTCAGTCACTCTCCATTTAACCTGTATGCATGATGCTTGTTTCAATGAAAACATATATAATAGACCTGTCCGAACTTAAAACATTTCCGTTTTAAATTAGTTAGCCTGAAATATGTTGGTGTTCTGAAATTGAATGCTTAAAGGAACACGAACACCCCACATTTATTTAGGTGGCTTCATATTAGTTTTGGGTAGTGTCACGATACTTGTTTCACGATACTGTAACTCGTTACTTTTCGATACATTTTTTAAGTAACCATAACGATAACTTAACTACTTTTTTTTTAAGTAACTGAAAAGTGATAAAAATAGTTTCAACGAATAAATGAGCCGTATTTTGTGAACACTACAGCGGGTTCGACCATGTGTGGAGGTTGGGTCCCACATTAGACACGACAAAATATATAAAGCAAGCACTCAAAACATTTTTCGTCGGAGAAAAGTGCCGGAGCGAAGGGCAGACGTTTTTCTACTTTTGTTTTTTTCCTTTTTATCGCGGGGGAAAGCGCATTTTCGCATTTACTTTATTTCAACCTTTTCGTGGGTGGCTCCCTCTCGCCCCATCTTTACCCTTTCCGGCCTCATCGAACACCCCGGCCACTTCAGCCAATCCAAGCCACGCCAAGCCACGCCAAGCCAAGCGACAGAGCCACCTCGCTTACGCAGAAACAGGCGACGCGTAGACACCTAGCGGCGAACTGTTTAAACCGTTTAACGCCGAACGAGAGCCTCTGTCGTCGGTTCCGCACAGTTGCGGCGATAGCTTTCTTCGCGAAAGAGGGTCGCCGCCAGTAGACGCTGTCTGGACCAGGTCACAGGCGATGTTTCTACTGGTCGACTTTCTCTTTCCCATGCGGCCGTGAGCCCGCGATCCACAGTCGAGTCTTTTGTTCTGCGTTGCATAGAATAAATAAAAAAAGAAAAGCAGTACGCATACCGAGACGACTTTATGTTGGTTTTGTTCACTTCTTTCTTTAACTTGTTTGACACTACGATATTTTCCACTTTATAAAGTTCCAAATGCTTTAGTCTCCTGCTCCCCTCCCTATTATTGTAATGAACCCGTCGGTTCACCGGTATCTCCCTCTCCTATCAGCTGGGAAAGGGGAATATCAGAGCGTTGAAGAGAAAGAGAAAAAAGAGAGAACTTCGCAAGGAGTTAAATAGTTGGATGGTAATTAACCGTTATCACTCAAACAAGAGGCTGTCATGACTAATGAACAGCAGGTGTTATCGTGGCCCGGCTCTGAACTGCACTTTGATAATGTCAAATATAGTTGGCGATAACTTTACTACTCGGTGCAAACACTGGAAAAAATTTACGGGAGTACACTTAAAACTGCTTACGTGTAGGAACGCGAAAGCATTCCTACACGTAGCGCCCTCATACGAGCAGCGCGCAACGATGTGCGCGGCGCGCAGGCTAGCGGGCAGCGCGCCCGCTCTTCCTCGAGAGAGGACAGCGGGCAGCGCGGCCCGCTCCTCTGCGACATGGCTGAAAGCAGAGCGTAGAGCACGTGACGACCTGGAATTTCCCACTCCCCCTCCCGCCCCCCCCCCCCTCCCCCCTTCCCGGTTTCCGGCCAAGCCTGACACGTGACCCGCGAAGGTGGGAGAGAGGGGCGGCCGAGCGCGCGCGACCTCCTCCCTTTTACCGGCGGACGGCCGCAGCGCCATGGAGAGGGCTTCTCTCTGGGGTGGCGGTCCTTGGAACTATGATGCGTCGGCATCGGAACCAATGAGAATGTATTCCACAGTTCGCCGCTACAGATTACATGCTTCGCTCCATGCAACAGGGAAATTTAGGTGCACTTTTGCGCGGCTTCAAAAGCCGATAACCCCGGTTCGCTCCATGGGACAGTTAATGCTTTCGCATTAAAAGTATACGCACTTGGGAGGTCATCTTCTTCCAACCTTCGCAAGCACCTCGGGTTGAGTTTCGACTTGAATTTCTGGACATTACCGCTAGGCATGGGGACGTAACGATAGAAGGCTGAAACCTCGACAGCGCTCTCCAGCCTCAACGACTTTCTCACTATTAGGAAAGCCTTTTTACGCAGTGATAGAGCGCAGGAGAGCTGGTAATGAATCCACGTCTTGTAGACCTGAGATGGGGAACAATAAAAAAAACGGACGAGGACGAAAAATTCTGTTGCCTTCGTCCGTTTTTTTTTTTATTTTTTTATTTTTTTTTATTTTGGGTTTTACAAGATGTTTATTTTTACGCCCGAATACTGCTCTGCCGTCCGGGGCACCCGTTCAGCGCCTCTTTAGCAAGGAAAGGAATGTGCATCAAAAGGGGAAAGTCCAATGATTATAACTTTGAAAAGCGGTTACTGCAGCGTTACATGAACTAAACAATTTATTACTTTGCCCAACGTGTATTGAAGCAGAAAACATTTTGATCCAACAAAGTGGTGCGACGTTAATATTATATGCCTCAAAAAGTGAAATAAGGTTTTTTTTAAAGTTCCGAATAAATTTTTAAAGTTCCACCTTAAAGAAAAAACAAAAAAAAACATTAACGTTTTTTTTTACTTTTTGAGTTTCGCCCCGACCTCTTACAATTTCAAATTACTTTTCTTTTCTCCTTCAGGTTAAGTCTTGATCTATAAATTCTGCCAGAAAACCCCATAAATCATAGTCTGTGTGTTATCATCGATAAATGTAAAAAAAGGAAGAATCTTGAAAGTAACCAAGTTACTATGACGAAGTAACTGTACCTGGAACGTGTTACTTTTATTTTTAACTTACTTTAGCTGTAACTTATATACATTTTTTATAAACTATCTGTCACTAATTACCTCTTAAAAGTAACTTACCCAGGGCTGTATTAATATGGTGTTAGGAGACTACCCAATGAAATTTCTGCCGCAGAGTCATGTAAATGTTTAGTTTAAAATATATATATACACAAAATCATCTCTGTTACGTCACGGCGCGGTGGTGGCGCGTCGGGCGCACTTCCGGTCTGGGGCTGTGGGCAGAAGTCCCCATGTGAGACGTGCATTCCTGCGTTTATTTTTAAAGGAATCAGACAAAACCCTGCCTTCTCGTTAAAATGCCGCGATTGAGGCTGTACCAAAAGAGTCGAGAGAGGTTCTAAGGTCAGTTTTCATGCGCTCGGTTCGTCCGAGAACGTGGATATGTGCCGTGAAAAGGGAACCGGACGCCGTCGGACCATGATTGCTTGGGCGGGAAGCACTTTGGGTTGAATTCACAGATACTTGTGGCCATCAGATTTATTTGTTTTCTTACAACATGAACGCCGGAGAACCGTCAAGTAGTACGGACCACACGCGGACTACGTTCAGTGCGTCTTCAAGTTCAAACGGCCGTATGATCGTTCGAACTGTCGTCTGCTCTTTCAGACGGTTGTGCTTGTCGTCTGCTCTTTTGGACAATACCGGCCCGTAGATCAAACGTGGGTCCGGTACTTGCGATAAGGAGTAAGTGCGGGCCTCAAAAGTTTGCTAAGCAGGCTCGATGTAAACAGTAGATACAAGGAGATATTGATAACTGTTACCAGTGGCCATCACCGACTTGTTATGCCTGATTCACTTGGTCCGATTCAGCTTGAGATTTTCAGAATCGACGCTGACCATCTCGGTTCACATTTTTGCAGCCCGAGCGTCGTCGCGACTGAACATTGCGAGCGAAATCGCATCATGCGAATCAGGCTTTAGCGTACATACTGCGGCGTCTACGCGGAGCGAATCGCCACATGTCACATTATTCACGCGAAGTTTTGTGGTGTAACGAGCCTCGTTAATTTCGCTGATGCCTCTCAAGCGGTCAGACATTCCCCCCCCCCCAGGAAGACGTAGACCCAACAATTCGAACGCGCAAAAGGGCAGGAGGACTGACACCGACGCCGACAACATCGCATTTCAATGGTTTGTTTACGGGCGACGGCGAACTTCTTGCCCACACCCCCACCGCGCATGCGCGGCGCCGGTGGCGTCCACTAGGGGCGCTCCGGTTTGTTTGTAAAATTGAGTTGGTGTATATATAACTGCTCAAAACCAGGGTGTCGAACTGAACCGTTATTTCGGCTCAACCGCGACTGAAACGACCGAAATATTCCCTGCCGTCTTGAAACCGAATCGGAACTGAACCGGAAAAAATATAAAGGTAAGCGGTTGAGAACGGTTCACGGTAATCTTTTTTTTTTTTTTTCGGTATCATAAATTGATAATCTGAGAATAAAATTTGTCCGTTGTATTTGTAAGTATTGATCAAATTCTTATATACAAAATTACAAGGTATGAGAAAGTGTGGGTTTTCGTGGCGCTTTTGTATTGCCACTATATGATTAAAGGGATCGTTTCTGGCGTTTTTATCCTCGATACGCACGTGTATAAGTTATTTAGGAGAGGCTTAAACGAATTTATGGTTTTAAATTTGATTTAAATAACAATTAATGTGTTTCTGACACATAAATTCTCATACATATAGAAGTCGGTTGTTGCTTTTTTTATGTGATGAACTGAAATTTTATGTGTCTGTAGAATGGAGTACACAGGCGCGCGTGGCGGAACTCTGACAATTACGCACGAAAACAGTCAGAAAGCGACCAATTAAGAAGCTACCATGTCGAATATAGCGTGAAATATTTTTTTAAATCTATTTAGCACAAAAATAATAAATGACCAAGGGTGGTGCTTTTTTTGCGAATTGAATTGGCCGGAATCTTGTCAAGGACAAACCTCAACAGCCAGGCTATGCTTGTTTATCCTGAATAAGAAAATGTTCCCTTGAATACGCGCTATTTAGGCCGGATTCGATCTGAGTACCAAGGTGCGTGTAGACAAGAGAAAACAATTTCCATCACTCCTTTCTGTATGATTCTTCGCCTGCATCACAGCGGTGAGTGTAAACAATGTTGGTCAGGAAAACAAGCGTTGTGATTGCAGCTTAGAGTTTCTACAAAAAGGTAAACTGAAAGGGCTTGTCCTAAAACTTTCTCGACATTTTGATAATACTGATGCTTTCAGCTCAGTTGCCTCGTCATTATATATATTGTGAAACGTATTTCGTAAACTATATTTCACCATATATATAGTGACAAGTGCACATTCTATGATTTTATGCACTGTAATTAATATCTTACTTCAAGAGCACAACTACAATTCAACTTTGAATACTGCGACGCGAAGTTGAACCAAGCACGGGTATTTTAGGTGGCCTGCCACACTTTGTGACAACGTTCCGATTCTGGTAAAATACGTGACTGAGGTAAACAAATGGATGTTGAGTCGATTGAACACGACATTTTGTATGTTAATCTAGATTTTCTTTGACTGTTATGTCAACATTAAATAACGTTATTTATTTTTGGTACGTGAAAATAAAAGTGTATTATATGAACGATAAAAGAACTATAAAGTAACTCGTTTCACGGCAGAAATAGTACCTATTGCCAAAACAGCGTGGAAAATATATTCTCAATTTAACGGATCGAACCTGTTGAAACCGGTTCCAACCGGTTTGAACCATTATTTTTTCTCCCCCGAACTGAACCGGAACTGAACCAAAAGCCGTGAACCCGAACCCGAACAGAACCGATAAAAGTTTTGGTTCAACACTCTGCTCGAAACCGAAACCGAAACAAAAACATGAGCACGGAGACTCACGGCTGCGACATGTGGACAATGTGTACCGAAGAAGAAGGAGAAATGTAGAGGAGGAGAGTATTACCGGAAGTCACGTGGCTACACCCGACCGCGTTCTTTCTTTTTCGCTTTTCTGTCGTGCAAGGCAGACGACGACGTTGAGTGAACCATTTGTCGCGCGACTGTTTAGTAATTATATCCGATTGCTGCTCTGTGCTTAAAGATCGATTTGCTGTTACCGCGAACGACAGTTTCGAAGCAGCAGTCCCACGTCCGTCGCAACGTTCGTCCGTCGTGCGCTGCCATCATTTCGTTCAGCCCCCGGTATGTCGCCATATTGGGAATGATATACTACATGTACTTCTTGCGATCTGTTCAACATTTGTTTTCAATGAACGCATCTGCAGCTTCTTCGAAGTCACAAAAAATGAGTTTCATATTTTATATTCTTTATATTAAATGTGTGCCTTAGATCACCCACAACTTTGATTAAATTTGCTACGTGTGTCTGAACGGCACGAAACCATCGAGAAGAGGTGAGTACAACTCAAACCGGTCAGTTCTCGAGCTGCGGATTTCGGGGGCAAGAACGATTTTCGAGCCACAAATTGTGTTTTGGATGGGTACAAATAAAAACATCGGTGAGCACAAATACCCGTCAGTGTTTCCTCTACCCGCATATATAGTAAATATATTTTGTGTACCGTCAAGTGACATGAGCCATCGTTTATAATTGAGGGCGACATTGAAACATAAATATTTAGATATAGTTACAATATTCAGTTCATTAAAACGCAGCTATAGTTAAAACACAAGCCTTGTACAATTAAAAAAACCAAAAAAAAAAACCTGCATGTTTTTATTCCCCACCGCGGGTACGCGGATATTCTATCACTGCGATCTGATGGACTCTTTCCGCGATTGGCAGTGAGGAAAAATTTACTTCAAAACTCAATTTCCACATAGACAGTTGGAGCATATGAAACGTTCAGAATCATGAAAACACGAGGCCTGGGAACAAAAATGGGGAGAGCACACACAAACGTTTGTGTTGTCGCCCTTCTTATTTCTCGGTCAGTGTTTTCGAGACGTTGAAAGTTCACCAGCTCACCTGTATATTATCGTTTATTGAACGCGGTAGCAATTTAGTAATTTTTGCACTTTCTATAAATATCGCGTTAAATTGTGCCCTGACACTCCTAACCTAAAAAAGTGCGTTATATATATATATATACCGGGTGTTTCTGCGAAGACTTTCAAAAATCCTAAAAATTAAAGCGTCAAAAAAAGAAAAAATCTTTCTTCGGGAACAAACTACCAGCCACCGCGGACGTCAGGAATTGCCAAAAACATACTAATTAGCCAACTATTTAATTAAAATTTGTTAATTAACTTTTTAATTAGTGGAAATAGACATATGGTTCTAATTAGAAAGTTTCTGAGCGTTATCGAAAACCACTAAATCAGTCATTTTCAAAAAGACTTTCGGCGTGTGAGAAGCTCAGTAGTGCACTAAAGTTACGACTCGTGGAGCAGGTACAAGGCTGGGGCGAGATAAGAGACGGAAAAATCGCGCGGGCGCCTTATCGCAACCGCTAGCTTTGTACCTGCTCAAAGAGCGGTAACTTTAGTGCACTACTACGCTTCTCACGCGCTCAAAGTCTTTCTGAAAACGGCTGATTTAGTGGTTTTCAATAACGCTCAGCAACTTTCTAATTGGAACCATATGTCTATTTCGCCTAATTAAAAAGTTAATTAACAAATTTTAATTAATTATCTGGCTAATTTGTATGTTTTTCGCAATCCCTGACGTCCGCCGTGGTTGGTAGTTTGTTCCCGAAGACAGTTTCTTCTTTTTTCAAACGCCCTAATTTTTAGGATTTCTGAAAGTCTTCGCAAAAACACCCGGTATATATATATATATATATATATATATATATATATATATATATATATATATATATATATATATATATATATATATATATATATATATATATATATATATATATATATATATATATATATAATTTTTTTTTTAGTGATAGCATTTGCAAGGCAAATTTCGAGAACGAACGAACAGGGTTCATCCCTTAGCCAGAACAAGTGGCCACGCGATCTGGGGTTTATCCAGATCGCGTGGCCACTTGCGTTGGGGACGCTTCGGTGACCCCAACGCACCAAGCTGCTTGGAGCGACGCCCTGCTCATGCACAAAAAGCCTGGCCTTGCGCAGTGCGACGCACCAAGCTGCTAACTTTTTAATTATTGTCACCAGCCCAAATCGAATGCTCACGCAGTTCTGGTGTCACTGTAAATCTCGCTACCACGGAGATCGCAAGGCTTGATGACAAAATCCTGGGGATCGCATTGTTGACAACTCCAACATTGTGATCCAACGTCGTTATCAAGTTTTGCAAAGAATTAATTCGTGAAAATACGTGGCGCCAAAAAAGTTTCCAGGTCAGTGGCGTTGCGTGCGAGAATACTTGGATACGACTATAGTGGCCGTAAACCTGCGTAAAGTGGGAAGCATTCCTAACGAATATTGTTGCAGTACCCCTTCATGTCACCCCCCTGTCCCCACCTTACGGTCGTCACGTAGAAACGATATGCGCGGTAAAGTGAATTATACGTGCCGTCCTCCTCTTCCAATCGCGCGTATATGCCAGTCATGGAAAGAACACGAAGTCACTCTCTGTGGACACAACCTAGCTAATTCCTAGAGCTTTACAATTGTTAATGAGAAAAGAAATATCAAGCTTTATCTTTTTTACGCTAATTATGCTGCTGTGGGAAAGAGGCTTCGACACCCACCACACTGAGACATCACCAGATGGTACTTCACTTGTCATAAAGTCTTAATCTTTTACTTGAACATATCATGCAGTTGAAGTACACTTACGAGGTTGCACATTTCGCTAACAAGTTCGGTTTCGGTTAGACAATTATTGTCCATATAATCTTCCCATTTCGTTTTTACCTGTATAAGGAAGATATAAATATCCCATAAAATGACCGAAATGCAATATATTAATGATCGGAAAATGTTCGTAATTTGCGCTGCTGCACTTTCTGTGTCACTCGAGTTGTTTTTAGAACAAAGCTGCGGTTCAACAAAAGATTACTTGAAGATATGTTTAAAATCAAAACGCATATAGCAATTATGTCACTTCGGTATTTATATTGTTGAGTATGCGATGAAATGCTATATGCCAACCATATATAACCAAGGTGGCCAAGCTGCGGCTTGCGAGCCGCATGCGGCTCTTCGAGTGTTAAAGTGCGGCTCGCGTCTCTCTCCCCTACACCTCCCCCCCCCCCCCCCCCCACACACACACATACGCACACTTCCCCGAAAAGAGAAATAGAAAGCGTTTTAAATCGAAAGATGGATTGCGGTTTGGTAGTTTTATGCTACTGCTACCTTACGTACATTTGGACAGCTTTTGACACGAATAGATTGAAAGTAGTTCGAGTTTCCTTTATTGCTCTCAACAAAAGTGTGCCCCCCCCCCCCCCCCCCCCCCCGGCTCTTGGAAGTTTCGTGGTTTTGTTTGCACCTCTTAGGCCGGGTCAGCCTGGCAACCCCTGATATATAACAATGTTACTAAAGCCAACTGAAGTAATTTCGAAAAATAGACTCGTTTATTTTCTACGGATATTTCAGACGTTTTTCTTCCACATAAATGCAAATTGTGTGTAACATCTCCTACAGTACAGTATTAGCTTACAGAGGAGCACAAAAATGTACTTACGACCTCTGGCACCTTTCCTAAAACGCATTTTATAACTTCTTCCGTTTTGCTACGGTTTCTGTACCAAGCACCTATTCGGGGAGGCAATACGACGGCCAGCTTAAGTTATAATTCATAATAACGGAGCAGCTCTATTACATGACTGAGCCATTCAGAATCATCATGTCGCAAGCAGCGCCATTACGCCGCTGACTAATCTCCCAAGTAACGCGTCATTACCAACATTACCTGCAAACTATAAAAGAAATATTCAACGCCCACGAGATAACATCATTAACTTTAAAATAAATCACTAGATAGCGCAAGATGAAGCGTCTTATAGCGCCCTGAAGACTAATATAATTGCGTCAAATTGTTTAAGTTATTTTAACCGCTTTGCGAGTACATGACGATCTTCGAATATTTAAATCCAACTAACTTATACTTTTTGAATGAGATCTAAACAACATGTAGTTTGATCATAAATCCGAGCCTCTGGATATTCGTGTTCAAGCTTTACTTGTAGCTATACTGGTAGAAACTAAGGGAGAGGTGGCAGACGATAGCACGCGGGGGACATCAGAACGTACTAAGCTCTACTTGAAATGATGAGTGGGCAGACTCAAGGCTGCCATTCTCGTCACTCTTGGGACGCGTTCAAACACTGAGTAGAGACAAGGGCAGTTTGCGTCTACGCGCACTAATCATTCCAACCAGAGCTCGTCGATCTGACGTCCCTTTTCGTCTCCTCCTCTCCCTCATTTTCTGGCCGCATAGTACACTGACAGCCCAAGAAATGTTCGTCTGCATTTCTTATGGACTATTAATGCTGCAATCTCATTGGTCGCTAAGCAATAACGGGCTTGAAACAAGTTACGGCCTGTTTTCTTTCTAAATTGCGGGTGACTTAAGTTGCCCGATATTTATTTTTCATTTAAAGAGGACATTTCAACCTGAGTTGATCAGATTGCCGAGTAGTCCACGCTTAGACATGGGAACCGTACGTCAGTAAGAAACTTTTCAGAAGCAAAATACGTGTATTGGGGGGGGGGGGGGGGGGGCACTTTTGTTGTGCGTAGGTTTTTTTTTGCGTTTTTTTGGCATTCGTTCTTCTTTTTTAGTAAGAAAAGGCGCTGTATGTACCAAACAAAAATAATAGCGGAACATGTTTTAAAAAATAAAATTATCGTGCCTGACCACACAAGTCTGATGAAGATTGCATTTTGCGTTCGAGTAATACCAATGCCGATTCCAAATGTTTAAGGGGGATCTGCCTGAGATTTATTTGTAGTCTTTTTCTCATAGTAGGCGCAGAATTTTCCCAGAACAAACGAATTGCACGCTCGCAGCTGCGCATGCAGGTCCGGCGCTCCGGGTCAGCTGGGCCTACCGGCTGTTCGCCGCTGATCTAGGCGAGCTAGATTTTGTTCGCCCGGCGTCCGCCGCAACCTTTAGGGGCTGAACGGCCGGCGCGTTGCGCGATCAATATAGTAAAATAAATGACTTCGACTTCCCACTGGCTCCGACGCTGATCTCTATTATAGTATATATGCTGGATCGCGGATGGGGGCTTGTCTTGCTAGGGTCGAGCGGCACCACCGGAAGCCATCCCTTGACACCATGCACCTAATCCATAGCACTCTATAGGGAAAACGAGAAAAAGTGTCGTTTCCCCCGCTTCTAAGCTGTTGTCACTGAAACGCAGCTGTTCAGGAAGCCGGCCAAATAGCTTGCGCACAAACATTAAAGCTGAAAGTTCTCACAGTTCTTATAAATTAATGTTTTGCGGTCGAGAGTGACTCCGCTGGGCGAAAAATGTAGTGCAGCTGAATGAGACAAGAGTCACCTGGAGTTACAGCAGAGTCTGTGGCGGTTTCGATGAGTTGGGTCTAGCAGGCGACAAGCTTGAATGCTTTGCTGCGCGGAATTCGCTCACTCCCAGAAAGCCGCTGTCAACATTGAACTTTTTTGACATTCATCATTTTCTGTGCTTCCCCCCCGAGGGCGGTCTAACAACCAAACACAACGTCCGGGCGGCGGAGACGTGCGTGCTGCACGGTCCCTGCCAATGTTTGGTCCCAGGTCTAGTTCAGTTCACACGTCATTACATAGATGGCGCGATAGTGGACGCGGTCCTGTGTATGATTTCCATCCTCCATGGCTAACTGCACTCGCGCCGTCCGCAAACGAACCGTGACGTATTTTGGCTGCACTGCCATGGAGAAACCTGTTTCGGTGGCAGTGGCGCTCCTTGCTCTGTCTGTAAGTTAAGGAAAAAAAACGCTGCTATTTTTTTTTTTTTTTCGGCGAATACTATTGCATAGAGAGGAAACCTAACGCGTGTTTGATAGGTTATAGTTAGGGTTCGGAGTTTTCGGTTTAAACCGATAAAAACCGATAAAAGTACGCCGAATTCAATTTCGGAAATTCGGTTTTAACCGAAAAAGGTCAGTTTTTAGGTTCGGCATTTTCGATTTAAATCGATAAAAACCGATAAAAGTACGTCGAATCCATTTTCTGAAAATCAGTTTTAACCGGAGACTGTCACTTTGACCTTCCAGTCGTACCGCAGAGCCGTGGCGAAAAAGTGGAACGACAGTGTCTATCGAAACGTGTCCGAATGTATGGGATACACGGATGCCATCACGGCGTTTTGGTTTATTGTGCGCATCATCGATCGGAACGTAAAGTCCGAAATGCCCCATGACTTCGCCATGTACGGGCGTGTTTTCAAACTCGTTGTAAGGAAGACTGACTTGATGCAAGCTCTGCATGTTGTGTTGTGCTTCAAAACGCCGCACCGTGTCTCTTTTGGTGCTCACAATTGGTTGATTGGCCGATTTTGACTCAGGCAGCGCTTC